GCCCCCTTGGAACCTCAGGGCTCCTGTGGCCAATCAGAATGGGGCACTCTCCTTCTAAGGTCACTGGCATCACCCAATCGGGTCTGATTAGGACATATTTATACAAATGAAGGAGCTCCTCACTCCAGTAATTTCAGGTTGCAATACCCTTAGATCCGCAGGTCTGTAGGTATCTGAGACATTACAGGTCATGGGTCAGCCCCTAGACGATATTGGACCCAGCCTGCAAACGCCAATCGCCAATTCTGAAACCATTTCTTAAAAATGCAAAGCCAGCAAAAAGTTGGAGGAGCAATACCAAGTGCTCCTTGCATCCAGGTCACTTTCCCCCAGGCCTGTGCTGTTAGGCATTAACTGATGTTTCCCTTCAGATGGGGGAGGGATAGTTCAGTGGTTTAAGCATTTGCCTGCTACACCCAGGGTTGTGAGTTCAATCCTTGAGGGGGCCACTTAGGGATCTGGGGCAAAATTGGTACTTGGACCCACTAGTGAAGGCAGGGGGCTGGACTCCATGACCCTTCAAGGTCCCTTCCAGTTCTAGGAGATAAGGTATCTCCATTAATTTATTTATTCACCCAGAGCAGTGGTTTTCAAACCATGGGTTTGAACCCATGGGTTTTGGACAGGTTTGAACCCGTGGGTTTTGGACCCAGAACTGAGTCGTGGAATGGAAAGGACTGGTTCGCAGCCACTCTGGTCAGCACTGCCAACCGGACCGTTAAAAGTCCTGTCAGCAGTGCTGCCCGGCTAAGGCAGGCTAGTCCCTACCTGTTCCGACACCGTACTGTGCCCCAGAAGCGACCAGCAGCAGGTCTGGCTCCTACACTGAGTAAGGGGGGCACGGAGCTCCGTGCACTGCCCTGCCCCGAGTACCGGCTCCGGGGGGGGGGGGGGAGCGGTGCCTGCAGGCAAGAACCTCGCAGCGCTGCTTGTGCGCCTCTGCCTTCGAGCCGGACTTGCTGCTGGCTCCTTCTGGGGCTCAGCATGGTCCGCAGTGCCAGGACAGGCGGGAAGCCTGCCTCTGCACCCCGGCTGTGCTGCTGACCGGAAGCCGCCAGAGGTAAGCCTGAGGCGCTCCCCAACCCCGCACCCCAACCCACTGCCCCAGCCCTGAGCCCCTCCCACACCTCAAAACCCTCATCCCCAGCTCCGTTGGGTCGTGGGCATCAACAATTTTCTTCAAGTGGGTCGCCAGAAAAAAGTTTGAAAACCACCAACCTAGAGTACTGTGTGCAGTACTGGTCACATCATTTGAAAAAGGATATTGCAGTATTAGAGAGGGTTCAGAGAATGGCAATGAGAATGATGAGGGGCCTGGAAAACCTCTTTTGGTAAGAAAGATTGAAAAGAATGGGACTGTTTAGCTTAGAAAGGAGATGACTAAGAGGGAATAGGATAAAAGGGTATAAAATAATGAATGGGACAGAGAAGGCTGGGAATGTCTTTTCTACCTGTCTCATAACACAAGAACAAGAGGACAGTCAATGAAATGGAAAGGGATCAAATTCAAAACCAATAAGAAATACTTTTACACAAAACGTTTAATTAAACTGTGGAACTCATTGCCACATGGAGTTTCTGAGGCCAGTAATTTAGCAAGATTCAAAAAAGGGTTTGGATATTGATAATATGAATAACTAGAAACCCCAGAGTTAAAATAGTTAATTTAATGCAAATAATTTTTTTTGGAAGGAATAAATTGGTCAAGGTTTAAAATGATCTCTAACTATTAGGAATTAGAAACACTCTTATATAGTGTTTCCCCTCACTAGCTCTCCAAGTGCTTTACAAAGGAGGTACAGAAAGGGTCTTGGCCTTAAACCTGACTCTGAGCCTGGGTTTATTCTGTGGTGTAGAAAGAAAGCTGCCAAGCCTGCTCCCAGCAAGCCTCTATTGTAGAGGTGAGCAAACTACGGCCCCCGGGCCACATCTGGCCCGTGGGATCATCCTGCCCAGTCCCTGAGCTCCCTGCTAGGGAGGCTCACCCCCAGCCCCTCCCCTGCTGTCCCCTCTCCCCCGTAGCAAAGCCGCCTTGCTGGCAGAGCAACTGGCTCTGTCTGGGCAGCGGCAGTGTGCACATGTGGTGGCA